GGCGGCGGGACGCATGCCCTAGTACACAACACTGTTAGACAAAAGACATGGGGGAATGCCGCGTACCTCGAGCCGCACCGTCGCGTTGAGTTCGTTGGCGTCGTAGAGGAACGCGCCAATGGCGCCGGCTGCTTGCGCTTGGCGTACGCGGTCGACGGCCTTGCAGTCGGGCGATGTCAGTGAGCGGCAGCAGCACGATGCGGTACATTGTATCCTCGCTTGCCGAGCGATTGGTCGTCGGCAGCGCAAATGCAGGGCAGTTGCCGACTGCGGGGACGAGCTCGATGGACGTGGCGTTGGGAGCGGCGGGCGTCACGAGGGCTCCGACGATCTTGCCGCGGTAGAGTGGCCGCTGGGCCACTGGGAGCAGCGTGTACGGCACGCCATCGGGCAATGCGTCGTGCGGTGTCACAATCGTGAGCTCTGCTGTCGCCGCGCGCGCCAGCAGCACCGCCGCGAGGCTTTTCAGGACACCACTTTTCATTTTGCGCAATGTGAGGAAGGTCAACCATCCAACAGGGTATGTGGTTCGATAATCGAAGGGTTTGAGCCTGGCTGCGTTTCACTGATGGGCGATCAACCCCAGAGCGTTGAGCCTCGAACAACCAGAGCGCTCGAATCAGAGACACCAGGCGCTGCGGTTGTAATTTTCACATGCAGGAAAGCTCTCGATGGACTCTTGCGCCTTCCGAGTACTAGGCTTAATAGCAACGTTCGAATCGCTTCGTAGGGGTAGGTCTTCTCCGCTACTAGTACGTCCTTTGTGGTGCCACTGCCATGGGTTGTATATTGGCTTGATGGTGATTCCAGGAAAGTTACGTGTGGGACCTACGTGGGGTATTATGCTAAAGTATAGTCATGCAACACAACGTACTTGGTAGCGTGGACGACAACATGCCTGTGACTGCACTGCTCCTACTGCCACCTAAGGCGACTATGCGACATTCGTAGGACGACAAGCGACGTAGACAGCAAGGCATATAGAGAGAAAGCGTCGGTGCCTCTGCCAAAGCGTGCGCGGTTGTCCTCCCGCCGGACATCCTGAAGGAAGCCGCAAGACCTATCTATCCGAAAACGACCAACCATGTGTGCGATTTTCATTTCATAAATACGATTTGCTAAACTACGCATCCTTCTCAATTGGCCAAGGACGAGATGCACGGGGGCGACATTCCTTGTGTCGCAGGGCGCTGCATGGGCGCAAACTTGGTGTGCGCAAGGTTCGCAAACCACGTGGTTAGGATCCGCAGCACGAGCTGGTCCATCGCATCGCAGCCGAGTTGTGCGTCGATGATTTGCAGAATGAGCGCTTCGTCTTGCTCGGTCGACGCTTCGCTCTCTTCCGTGCAGACTGCGTGGAGACACGGCAAGAGCGCGGTCGGGTCGGTGCCAAACGTCAGGTCGGCCGTCGCCATTGATGCGATCTCGATCGCGCTCCCAGTGCAGTGGGCGATGAAGATTTCGAAGAGGCACCACGACCGGCGCAGCAAGATCGGGTTCGCGAGGTCCGGGAGCACGAGGAGGAGCTGGCGCGTCGCGTCCAAAATCGACCGGAACCGCGTCATGTATTGCACGAACGAGAACGACTGCATCTCGTGCTGGTTGTTGGCAAAGAGGCAAAACCACACCGAAGTCGTGCGCACATCGCCCACGGTGTACACAAAGCTTGTGATGCTGTCGACCACGTCGAGAAACTGGCTCTGCCACGTGTGCCCGAGGTACCAGTTGGCCGGCGCCGTCATGAGGCCGGCGCTGTCGGGGTGCGTCTGCGTGTAGAGGTCCAGATACGAAGCGTTGGTGGCTTCCGTCGTCGGAAGGACGTAGAGGTAGCAGACGTCTTCGGTCGTGAGACCCCGAAAGGCGGCACGGCCGCCAAAGTCGTCAATGAACTGCAGGAGGAACGCAAGCGTGACACCTGTGGGCGAACTCATGGCCAAAAGGAAAAGTGAGTTTCCTCCTGCGCCGGGCCGATGGACCCGCGATTGGTTGTGTCCTTGGCGCCAGATGGTGCGCCGACAACATCAACGCCATGTGTCACAGGCGCCGAGCGCAAAAGCAAGTTCAAACCTACATTCCTTAATAGCGGCGGAGTGGCGAGGTCGCCTCCGCTGGCTCGACGGATACATGAACGAGGTGGTCGTCTTGCTGCTATATGTTTATAATACACTGCTTGACACCTCAATCCGGCCTGTGCACCTACGAAAGATAATAGTATGTGTGCCGGTTTTGAAAATTGCGGCAGCACGACCGTCCCTTCTTTCAAGGTTGAATGACTGTTGCAGGGGGTAAGTGTCGTGGCATCAGCTAGTTGCATCCACATAGCAGAAGAGCGCGGCTTGATGGGGACGTGGTTGATAGCTGCATTTAAGGCCTCCTTTGCGAGAGGTCGTGCCTTGGCCAGAAAAAGCCATTTGGCGGCCGCTCAGCCAAAACAAAGAAACATGGATGACGAGCCTCTCGACTCGTGCTGTTGAGTGCTAAGGGATGTTTGTCTTGAGTGTGCTGTTTTACACTTCAAATGTAACGAGTCAACTTCATGTTTGAAAAGACTACCCCCCAAATGTTGTTGGGGGCAGCTACGCAAAACTAGTGAACTTTGTACTAGTAGCTCTTATTTAGCGACCGGCATTTGCGAGTGAACCTTATCGGAGAACGGTCGCCAACACAACCACGCTTTCAACGTAGGCGTGCAGGAATGGTCGCCGATTAGTTGCCGTCGCGCCACATGTTTTGACAACTGTCTTGACATGTTTTTGTGTCCAGCCAAACAAGACTGGAAACAACCATAATCGTTGGCTCTTCTAGATACGTTGACGAGCTATCATCAAGAAAATGCTTACTTCGTAATGTGTCATCTTCCGTACACTGCGGTTTTGTCGTGTATACATCTCTCTATGTCAACACGGGCGTGGGCAAATCAAGCAGCTACAAGAGTCCGGTTCGGTGGGGACCTTGTCTGCTAGTACTTGGTACCACAGCACATTCGCAGTTGCTACGTTGTGTTACGGTAACTTTGTGCGTACACTGGTACGTTAGTTGGATGGCTGGACCTAATCAGCACTCAGAAAAGCACGCTCGACGATACCAAACCGTGAAGCGTGGCGAATTCAGTCGTTTCCGCAATACAAGCAATCATTGTCTAGCAAGTGGACGATCGATAAGTTGTATGCAGACGTCGGGTGCCAACGTTGGACAACCGGATCCGTTGGTAACACGAGAAGTCTGTCGCGCTTGACAACTGGACAGCTTGCTGCGTACGGTGCCAGCTCCAAGCCTGCAGCAAGTGCTGCGTAACTTGGCGGGTCGCGGACAACGAACTTGTAGTCGCACAAGCCGGTTAAATCGTGGTTAAGGCGTTTGTTCCAATTGAAGGTAGCGCGGAAGATCTTGGCAAGGCTCTGCCGTCGATCGGGGGAGCCCACCCGTAATTTCTACCCATTCCTGTCGCGCTTACCAGCACAACGTAATCATGGCTTTGCTCATCGACGCTAAGCTCCGTGCGCAAACACACGTGGCATCTTGGCACAAACCAATCCATAGTTGATCATGAGAGCGGTCGAGCGACGTGATGTCGTAGATATTGTTCTTAGGCGCGACCTTAGTCATCAGTAGCTACTATAACTCTACATGGGGCAGGTAAGTTACACGCATCGTATCCTCATCCACACACGTCCATGCGGAGACGTTGTGCCTTGCGTCGTCCGTGTTGACTGACACTAGTTCTCAGTGCTTGAAGGTGCTTGACCGTTGCATTTCTATCTTTCGCATATATTGTAGCTAGTCAACAGCGTTGCTCTTATCTCTTCGTGTGGGGTTTTAAGCGTGGATAGATATGGCGGTCAGTTGATTCGCGAACCCAAGCTTCCTATACCATGAACGGCGAAAGATCGCGTTACACCAATCATCGTTGCCACTCAGCGAATGGAGACATGTGATTGGCATTTCTATTTTTGTGCATTCGATCTTTCAACGACGATGATTGGTTTTCGGCGTATCTGCATTATGGGCCGCCGAATCATCGGCTCGAACTCAAGGCAATGACATAAAGACATGTGTCTACATTACAGTTAGCTACGAGTACGTGGCAAGCTACGGAAACATATATCAACACGCAGGGGGCGAAGACGGGATCGTGGGCGTAAGCGCCTTGAACATAGCTTTGAACTGCGACCACTTGGGCCGACGAGGTTCACTCTCTTCAACGTCGTCTTCTTCGTCTTCTTCGACAAAGGTGGCGTGATGCCGCTGGCCGAAGCCATCCTCGACTTTGGAACACGCGAGCGGGCTAAAGAGAATGAGCTCTGTCGTCCGGTACAGCGTGTCGTGGTCGACGACGAGTTGCTCGAGGTTGACGTCCAGCGTGTCGGATGTAATATCGCGGATAATACACGGTCGACAGACACGCACTGGGGTGAGGCCGACGAGCGGGAGCTCCGACGTCACAAACTGAGAGCACGCGCGACAGACGACGTCGCCACAGCGGCGACAGTGGTGCTTTCGCCGCAGCCGCAGAAGGAACTGCTTGTTGCACGCCGCGCAACTCGAGCGACGCTTGTCAGGCACCCACTCGCGCTTCGGTTTGAAGTGCTCGAGGCGATAGACCACCGGTGACGAGAGGGGTCGGGGCATAATGTGCAATGAACCTGCATCAAGCCAAGGGTAAGTAAATACCCGGCTTCGATTTTTCTAAAAAGTAGAATATGACACTATAAAGACTATCATTACCCCGTTGCGCAGAAGTAGTGTTATAATGGGGCTTGAAGCCCTGTCTAAACTGCTCGGCAACGGTGCAATGTACACTATTTCGGTACGCGGATCGTTTTCGGCGGCAGCGTCACCAAGCGCGGAGGAGGTTGGCCAAGAGCTGAGCAACCCTTCTACTGGTATGGTAACACAGCTGCCCTGGTTTCTTGAGCTCGTTTCAGATCGTAGGTCTCTATAGTGCCTCGTAAGCGTCGTCAACTCGAACGAAACGACTATGACCTCCCACCAAGTCCAAGTCGATGAACCCTTCGCTACTATCTCCATAGTCGCTAGTTGCCTATATACCTGGCGAGATCTATTCATGCATAGCCCATAAGGTGTAAGTACTTATTGACCTTGAGCTGCCTCAAATCGCCCAAGCACGAGATGCGGTCGAACTCCACGCCCTATCCATGAATCTCAGCTTGGACGGCATGATGAGACGACCATCTGCAGCTCCTTGGGTCGAAGTTTCCTCGGAAGGCTGCCGGCAATGCAACGTTCTCCATCGAAGCGCACCTCCCCCAAGCGAACGTTCGTCCTTATTTGAGGCACATGCCACTAATAACAAACGAAATTAGTGTGCGCCTATCTTTTTCGAGCCAACGGCAATTTGCCACAGTCGCGCCAGTGACCAGTCCCAAGAAGCAACCATGGCCCTGATCACGACGTACGTCTCCATGTGGACGGCCGCGTTGCTCGACTACTCGGCGCAGTGGTTCCCTGCGCCGGCGGTGCCAGCGCCGCCAGCGCCGCTGCCCAACGCTTCGATCGCTCTCGACATGCTGTGCATGTGTCGGTCGTTTGCGACGCCACAATCGCACCTCGCCGACCAACTAAACCGTACGCAGTGCGCGGGCCTGGGCTTTACAGACCGGTGGACGATCGACACCAACATGTCGCACCTCTCGCCGTCGGCGCCGCCCGTCTTTGTCGACGGCAAGGAGCTCGTGGTCGGTGGCACGCTGCGCGCAATGGTCTTTACGAGCTCGGACACGGATGCAATGGTGGTCGCCTTTCGGCACCAAGAAGGCGACGGCCTTCTCGACAGCGAACTCTGGGAGGCCATGGGCCTCTTTGGGCGCAACTTTGTGCAGCTGAGTGCGCCGTCGATGCTCACGTACGGCTCGCTGCTCGACTATGCGAGCCGGTACGTTCAGTACCTCATCTTTGGCGCGCGCCACGTGCTCGGCGCTGACTTTGTGCCGCTGGCCATTGCGTTTACAAACGAGATGCGCCGCACGTATCCGCACCGGTCGCTGCACTTCACCGGCTACTCGCTCGGCGGCGCACTCGCACAGTTGGCGGCGATCCGGTTTGACGCGCCCGCGACGACGTTTGCTGCGAATGGCATTTTGGATCTTCTCCACTTGTACCAATTGCACCCATCCAACTCGGTGCGCACGCATGTCAACTATGCCCACGCCAGCGATTTCGTGCCGAAACTGGACTGCCAGATTGGCACGCTCGTGCTCGATCCCACGACGACGGGCTCGGACGACCCGGCCGCGACGCACAAGGCGTTTGTGTATGGGCCCACGGCATGGACCATGCTGCATTCGCCGCTCACGGCGACGTCGGGACGGCTCTACAGCCAAGACCACGGGTACTGCGTGGACAATGCATTTGCCCATGCGCCAGGCGCGGCGTCGGTCCTCGACGGCACACTGCAGCGTCTCTCGGCGCATCTCGTGTCGACGATGCTGGTCGCGTGCTTTGCATGGTGGGTGGTGCGCCGCTTGTAATTTCGCAACATGCAAGTTTTGTACATACTAGTATGTATGTAGACAAGAGAAGACATTATTGTTACCACGTGACACCTTACGCTTGCTGGGTCGTGCTCGGCCGGCGCTGGCGAAGGCCTTCGGTGTCTTTTGGCACGGGGGCGTCCGTGGGGGTCTTGGCGGTCTTGGCGTCGAGGTGCACGACGTCGGTCTCATCGTCGACCGCAATATCCGGGATCTCTTTCTCCGCTTCCTCGTGGCGACGCTCGTCGGCCCAATCTTGGCGCAGACCACGCACGAACGCAAGGAGGAGCAGGGCAAAGACAGTCCCCACGGCCGACATGAGCGGGTACGTTTGAACGTACTCGCCCCCTCGGGCCGCGTAACCTTTGGCGATCTCAAAATACGTTGGCTCATATTTTTTGCGCGCCGGTCGCTCCTTGGGCTTGGGCGCCGGCTCCATCTCAATCGCAAGCTCTTCGGCCTTTTGTTTGGGCGCCCACGTTCCGCGCGCAAAGTCAAAAGCGTCTTGGAGATCGTGGCCGAGCCAAAGATTGTCGATCTGGATGTTGGTGGCCATGCTCCAGACCTCGAGTGCCACCGCGCTAAAGCAAGCCGTGAGTGCCGTCAAGAGGGCTTGGACGCATGTACCCGATCGGTTCCATGCGGGCCGGGTGCGCGTCTTCGTAGTAGTCTGGGTTGGGAATCTTTCGGGGCTCCCACTCGCCCAAGTAGTCGGGATTCTCGATCATCGGAGGCGTCCATTTGCCTCGGTACGCCGGATTGGACATCATCGATTGCTACAATATCGATCGACAGGTCAAATGACAAGTTGAGCAAAGTGCGTACCTTCCATGGGCCTTTCTCCGCGTCGTCCCAGTCGTCGGGTTTGGTGATCTTGGGATTGGGAATCGTCTTGGGCGCGTCTTCGTCCCAGTCTTCCGGCTTTTGCGCCGCGGGGTCTGGGATGAACTCGGTCTCTTCGTACGTGGAGGGGCGGACGTCGGACGGGTCGTCGATTTCCTTTGGTGGGTTGACCGCGGGCTTGAAATGCGTGAGAAGACTGCCTTTCTTGATCGCGACCAGATCGGCGTACACCTCGAATGTATTGTCGTCGTGGACTGCGAGCGTGTACACATGGCTGAGCTTGTCTTCGGTCTTGGCGGGCGGCGAGATCTCGAGGTGCTTCTCTTCGTACATGTGCGTCAACGGGTTCTTGTGGTTGAAGATAAAGTGCACTTTGTTGGTCTTGTCGCACCGGTCGGGCCCAAACATGATGCTGAACGGCGACTTTTCATCGAGCGAGTCGAGGTCAGCGGGTTCGCGGAGCAGCTTGAGGTAACTACCGGCGCAGTTGACGCCGTCGCGGTACTTGACTTCGTACTGCACGACGAGTGCGCTCTTGGACTCGTCGAGCTGGAACGGCGACGGAAGCTTGGCGCCAAAGCCATAATGCTGCGCTTTCGCTTCCATCAAGAGCGCCTTGTCCTGCGCAAAGGCGCCGAGGAGGCGCGGACCTTCCTGAATCGAGACCTTTTGCTCGCGGTACTTTTTGTTGTGGCTCTTCACCCACGACGATGTCTCGTCAAAGAGCGTCGTGTTCTGGAACGTCTCGGCCCAGAATGCCTTGCTTGTCGACGGCACGCGAAACGTTGAAGCTGTTGGCACAACGTCGCCTTCTGCGGACGCAACAGCCAGCGCGATCGCTGCCGAGAGGTGGGCTACAGAGCGAACCATCGAGTTTGTGGGAACGATCTGCGCGCCTCGTGTCCAAATGCTCTTTGGATGCCTTTCTGGTGTAACCGGAACGAAACCGATCAAACCTTTCATTTTCGATAACCTATAAGAGTAGAATTACAAATCGGTACAATTATCTTTTCTAGCCACGTCTGGACTCCTAGATATGATTACCTTTAAAACAAAATACGCTTTCTGGGTGGGATCCAAACATCGAAGAATACCACCGCGACAAGGCGCCGGTTCACAACCTCCCCAAACGCGACCCTTGGCGCACGCGGCTCGTACGCTTCTGGTATGTTGACGAAGTCTACGGTTTTGTCTTGCGGTGCTGCACCATCGCACTTTAAACTCGGTGGACTTGCGCAGAGCCTGCATCCGGTGCGCTAGTATTTGGCTATACCATGTTGTTTGGGTGTATATTTCTTGGGCTGGCGACTCAGGCTGGTGCCCGGTTGAAGGCATGGGTTGAATGCGTCGATAATCAACGATTTGCACGCGCAGCTGCCACGGTCACCTGTCGCCAGACCGTAGAATTGCTGTCGAGTCCCACTGACTGACCTCTACCCGCATAGTATCCGGTCGAGTAGCGTTCTCGCGTGCATCGCAGGAGCTCCCTCTACCCGTCTTGCCTTGTCCGGCACCGCACGCCTCGGTGTGCGCATGGAGACAGCCCACACGCTTACGCCCAAACCGGCATGGTAGGAGCCAGCGTTTCGGCCGTTCACGATCTTGGCTTGTCTCTGGCGCGATGCCATTGGTCGAGAATGTAGGTCACTGGGACAGGCCTAACCGTTTGCGTTGGATTTGAACATGTCTTTTTTAATATAATTCAACTTCAACTCGATAGCAATGCTGACATAAAAATATGATTCTACGACCTTCTATCTCTATAGTTGCATGTGAGCACTTCTTTTTATGATTTATAAGATTGCGATCGATTAAAATACAAATAAAATACTACCGTAAAAAGCCCTCACAACACCAAGATCTGGATCAAGGTCAGTACGCAGAGCGAGCGATGGAGAGCAAGCGCATTGGGATCGTCTCGATCGGGTCCCGCGGCGACGTGCAGCCGTACTGCGTGCTTGGGCGCGCGCTCGCGGACCGCGGCCACAAGGTCTTCATCGCCACCGAGCAGCGTCTCGAGAGCCTCGTGGTCGACGAGTTCCGGCTGCCATTCCGGTGCATTGCAGGCGACTCGACGGGTGGCCTATTTGACCCCAAGTTCCAAGCCGGGCTCGCGAAAGGCTCGATCATCACGACCATCAAGATGACAAAAGAGTGGCAAGGCAAGTTCAAGATGGACGACATCCTCGCCTCGTACGTGACGGCGCTCGACGGCGCCGATGTCATTGTGTCGGGCGGTCTCTGCATGACCATGTCGCACGCTATTGCCGAGAAGCTCCACGCGGCGTGGGTGCCATTCATTCTCGGACCCACGTGCCCCACGACCGAGTTTCCCGTGTGGGCGCTGAGCAGTCTCACCTGTGGCCTGCGCTGCCTCAACAAGTGGACGTACACGGTGCTCTTCAAGAAACTCTGGAAGGACGAGCAGCACTACATCAACCCATGGCGCACGAACGTCTTGGGGCTTGCGCCGATCACGATGCCCCTTGGCATGCTCGACATCATCAACAGCAACGAACGTATCCCCGTCCTCATTGCGTGCTCGGCGCTCTTTTGCGGTCCTCAGGCGCGCATCCCAAGCGACTATGACCCGCGCAAGATCCATTTACTCGGACCTGTCTTTGCCGCGCCGTCGCCACTTCCCGAGGCGGCGACGAGCTTCCTCAACGCCGCGCGCGCAGCAGGGACGCCAGTCATCTACTTGGGCTTTGGTAGCATGCCGACCGCCGACCCGATTGGGCTCCTGCGCCTTGCCGTCGACGTCTGCGAGCGCGTCGGGTGCCGAGCGATCGTCGTCGCTGGCTGGTCGGCGCTCACGTCGGACGAGGCCGACGCGCTCCTCACGGCCAATCAAACCCGGCTGCTGGTGCTGCGTTCTGTTTCGCACGGCGCCCTTTTCCCCAAAGTCGACTGCATCGTGCACCACGCCGGCATTGGCACGTGCAACGCGTCGCTTGCTAGCGGTACGCCGCAAGTGCCATGTCCCGTGATGTTGGACCAGCCCCACAACGCCAAAGTCCTCGTGCGGCTCGGTGTCGCGCCGTGTGCGCTGCCGTTCGGCAAGCTCTCTGCACCCGCGCTTGCCCGCGCCCTCCAAGACGTGCTTGCGAATGTGAAAGATATCCAAGCCCGCGCCAAGACGATCGGTGACAGCCTCCGTGACGAATGCGCCGACGCGCTCGAACAGTACATGCAGCTCATCACGACGGCCGAGTCGCTGTCTGTTGCTGCATCGTAGCCGACTCGTCGTCGGCAACACGACTAACATGCATACAATATGTCCTGCTGTATTACCATGGGGCTCCTACGTGAAGCTACCGTCGACAGTGGAGCGCGTAGCTGAAATGCGAGTACGCGGACGAGGGCTAGGGGTGGGGGCGGCGGCGCGCGGTGGCATAGTGCTGCGTGGCCTGCAGCCAAAGGCGGTCGGCGGTCTTGTCGTGCTCGTGCTCGTGAATGTAGAACGCCGACCAGCGCAGTTTGCGCGCTTGCCGGCGGTAGCGGGCATGGAGCGCCTGCAACCCGACTTCGACAGCGTCGGCAATTTCGGTCGGTGGCGCATCCATTTGCACGAGGAGCGTGTACCGCCGCAGGGTTTCGGCGCCGTCCTTGGTGGCCGCGAGGTAGATGGTCGCAAACACCATCGAAACGTAGTATGACAAACGCGACTCGAGGCGCCTTTTCGTTCCATGGGAAAAGCCCTCTACGCAATCCGCAAGAAGCCCTCTACGCAACCCGCCTTTGCACCACGCTCGCTTCGGAGGAAGCAACAAAGGCCAACGCGGCTGTCCGCTGAAAAGGAAGCGTCGTGAATGCTCTGATGGTTATTGCCGCGGAGACAATCCTCCTGAACGTCATATCTATCTATCGATCGATCGATCTACATGTATTTATCTGTCTATCCAACGCTATATGTTTCACGGTTCGTATTGGTGCGGTTACAACCTCGGGATGCGGCGACCTAGTGCGTTCCAGTACCGCCCCGCGCCAGCGCCTCAAGCCGAGCGCAACGAGGTCTGGGACGCAGTGTATGCACAAGACTATGCGCGCGCCCAAGCGCTTCTTCTTCAGAGTGCGCACATACCCAGCATCAACCGACCGCACGGCGTACGCGTCCCGAAATCACCAGATCTGAATCGGAAGACGGCTTTTTCTAGATCTGGGGCAACACGTGCGCGCACGTTGCTGTGCTGCACAACAACCGCAAGCTCGTCGCGCTTCTTTTGCTGCACAAGGTCGATCTGAATGCCATCAATGTAGGACAAGTTGTCTCATTTTTCACGATGACGCAAGAAGTGGACTAGATCAACGGCACCACGCCGCTGCACTTTGCCGTCGAGCAGCGCCGCACGGATATGGTCAAGTACCTCGTCGAGAATGGCGCGTCGCCGAGCAAGCGCAACGTATTTCCACCGATTGATCCCGTGACATGCAACTCATTGCGACGCACTCTACGCATAGTATACGTTCAAGTCACCTTTGGAGCTCGCCAAGATGCTTCCAGACAACAAAGCCATGGTCAAGCTGCTCCAAGATGCCTACAACGTCGAGCGGGGGCGGCCAACTTGCAGCCATAGTACTTAGTGAGCAAGAAGATAATGTATCATTTGGCCATAAAGTGGAGATTGTTCAGCCTGGGTCAACGCGCTAGACACCTTTGGTCGATTGGTGGCGGCGGGTGGATCGTTGCCACTGCTGCTTGGCTTTGCGGGGGACGAAGCGGCCAATATAGCTGGACAACCGCTGCCACCGAGTGCGGGAACCAATCTGCGACATTGACTCGGACGTCACCGTCGCCGGAGAGTCCATGGCCCAGGCAGAGGACCCACAGGTGCCAATAGCCGTCGGAAGTTCGTCTACTGGGGGCGTCTCGGCAACCCACGAGCCCGATGTGTCGTCGGCGCGACTCGTACATCGCTGAGGCACATGCTGCGCGTCGGCAGACGCCACCTGGTTCATCCGCTTTGGCATCTCGGAAGAAGCGGGAGTCATGCTTGCGGCAAGAGAATCGAAGTGCCTCGTATCACCTTCCTCACTGCGTAAAGGCGTCAAGCTTCAGTGCACGAGCAGCACGTTCCACGCCTTCGACACGCTCCGAAACAGTGTTTTAAACAGTGTTCAAAACAGTGTCTATGCAGTATCTTATACTGCGCTTTAAAACAGTGTATGCTTACATGCGCTGTCTTGGAAACACTGTTTTGGACACTTGTATCCGGACCGATATCCGCGATGTGGGCGCTGGACGAGACCGCGCTGGACCTCGTGCAGCGAACATGGTACGATGTACCGTTCCGCTGTGGCATCGACGTCATCGACGCCGTCTTCCCCGACGGCATCCCATCGCGCGCCGTGGTAGAGCTCTACGGCGACGCGGCGAGTCCGCGCAGCCTCGTGCTCCAACACCTCGTCGCGACCTTCCTCCTCCAGCACCCCAGCGGCCGCGTCTACTACTTTGACCACGAGTGCCATCTCGACGCGGTCGAAATGCGCTGCGTCCTCGAGGGCTACGCGGCGCACGACGAGGCGGCGGTCGTCAGCGCCATGCAGCGCCTCGAGCTCTTCCACGCGCCATCGACCGCAGCCTTTTCCGCCGAGCTGCGCCAGGTGCACGAACAGCTGCTGGCGGCCAAGACGCGTCCGGCCAACGTTCTCGTAGCCGTCGACGCGATCAGCTCGTTCCATTTGATCGACAAGGCCGCGGCGCTCCGCGTCGGCGAAGCTGTGGCGCCCATGGGTGCCATCTACGCGCAGCTCAAGGACTTTGCCCGCACGCATTCAGCGTTTTTGTTTGTGACCAAAGCAAGTACGCCATACGTCTCACCACGTTAATGCGCATCGTAACGTATTAGACGAATTGGCAAAAGGCTGGGGCCACGCCGAGTACATGCCCAGTGTCTGGTCGTCGCTCGTCACCAAGCGGCTCTCCCTACGGTACGATATATGCCTCATGGAATATTTTCCGACACGAAATGTCATATGTATCCCTAAAGGACTCGGACGTCGCCGGGGACAGCATTTCCATCCCCCGACCAGTCGTCGTTCCAACTGCGCCATTTCGCCAACGCCGAAGCGTCCGTGCGTGCCACTCGCATGCGTAGCTCACATCGGTCGTAGGCATATTCTTCCGTTCTGCCTTGAGAACCACCGACTTGTCTTGCTCGCCCCCGGCCCATCGCAGCAAGCATGATTCGGGTCAAGCGTGGCCTTAGTATGTTTAAGCTTCAATGTCGTACTTCATGACGAGCTCCATGTCAAATGCGCAGTCGTCACCGAGCACCGTTGTCATCGCCCGCACGACCGCCTTGTGCGTCGCCTCGAGCTGCGATAGCCAGCGATTGCTGTAGCTCAAGCACAGTCGCGCGAGCCGCCGGGCGTTTTGGCTCGCAGTCGACGCGCGATCAATGTCGCGCACGTGGAGCTGCTCAAGTGCGAGATTGTTGTATGTCACTGCGACAAGGCACAGCTTTTGGGCCGACGCGCCACCCGCGTCTTCGAGCTGCGCACTCTCGACGAGCTGGAGGATCTCGTGGAGAGCTTGGATCGCAGCGTCGTGGCGCTCGAGCCGCGAGAGAAGCGCCGCCATGTGGAGCTTGGCTTTGGCCACGTGGGACCACTCGCCCAGCTTGACGTGTGTCCCATGGGCTTTGGAGCAGTACTTGAGACCCTACCCCGACCGATGGATGAAAATACGTAAAAAATGAAAAAAGATGCGGGCATACAGCGTGGGCTTTGCCGCGGCTGTAGTAGTAGTGCGCGTACGAGTCGGCGATAAACGCGACGAGCTCGGCGCGCGCGGGGCCGAGGAGCAGCGTCGAGTCGTCGAGGAGCGCTTCCGTCTACCATGACAAAGACAGGAGAATGGCCATGGGCTGCGAATCGTCGCTGATACCTTTTTAATGAGCTGCAGTGCCACCGCGTGCTTCTTGGCGTCAATGTTGCGGCTTGCAAATGCGTTGCCTACGCGTCGTGAGCGCACAAAATCCACCAAGCATGCGTCGGTCGTACACGTGATGACGAGCTGCCGCCAGAGCTTGATGTCGATGTCATCGAGCGTCTTGAAATGGGTGCGTAGTCGCGCCATGAGTAGTGTCTCGACGACCGCAATGTACTTTTCGTGGGCGCCACTCTACCCATGATGCGTCGTCGTCGCAGGTTCAATATCGAGTGACAACCTGTTCCAAATGCCGGAGGTCGTCGCAGAGCAAGTGCCGACACAGGACTGGCTCCCCCGCGAGGTACGTGCGATCGGGTGCGTGCTTGTGGCCCTCGATCTCTGGGCCGGCCAATGCACACCACGTCGCCAGCACAACGCCCGTGCCAGCAAACCAAATCGGTCGTGGAATTTTCGGCAGACAAAGTTTGACTTTGCCGTTCTCGAGTCGGTGGCTCGGCTCCCACGAGTCTTGCACGGCTCGGATGCGCGACCGACGGTCCTCACACACCCGCGTCGCCACGTCACTGTGCTCGATCGCCGTCGTTTGGTCACCACGTGGCGTTGGGGGGCCAGCGGGCTTTGTCGGGGACCCCCCCGTTTTCTTGGTCTTGACGCTGGTGGCGTACAAGCTCAAAATTTGACGCGCGAGCTCGTTCTCCCAGACCTTGTCGTCGTTGGTGTTGGGGTCCGTGTCTGGGAAAGGCTCAAGCATCGCTAGTTGGTAGCCCTTGGGAGGCGACTTGTTTGGCTCTGGCGTCGGTGGCACGGCTCCTACTGTCGTGTCGCATGCATCGACGGGCTCTTGGAGGCTTGTCGGCGCCGATGCGGTCGTTGTCGCAGTGGCGCCACTCTCGGGAGGGCGCTGCGAGGCCTCCCAAAGCGGCTTTGGCGCGATCTTGCCCGGGCGGTAGTTCGTACTGGATGTTGTTTGCTGCAAAATGCGCTTGGTTTGTTGGAGCAAGATCCACGTCTTCTTGTCCATATTGTACGGCACTTTGGTGAGGTCCGTCCACGCCGCGTCCTCGTCCACCGGCGCTTGCTCGTCGGGCGCAGCCTTGGGTTTGTCCACTTTTCTCGCCGCCGATTTGAGCTTCGGTTTCTCAAAAAGGGGGTTGTCGCGCAACCGAGACTCTTTCTCGACACGCTTGGCTCGCTTCGTCGTGGAGTGTGGGCGCACTTGACGCTCGGCAATCGTTTGCTCGGGGCCCTCGTGCCGAGCGAGCACGAGCGGTCGGTCTATCGGGTCAGTCGGGGCTGGATCAATGATTGGCGGCGGCAAGACGTGGGCGTAGTTAAGACCGCTCTCACTGAGCGAGTGCGAGAGCAACGAGTGCAATCGGCCTTCCAATAGCGCCTCCTTTTTCGCCTTGCGATGGTGTTTTTGTTTGTGCGGAGGCAGCGAGAGCAGCCCGTTTGTCGCTAGCTTCTCGACAACCTGTTGAATGACGCGCTCGCGCTCCATGGCCAGCTGTGCTTGCTGCTCTCGATGCAAGTCCTGTGCGATATCGCATCAGCGTGACGATGGGTTCGAAGTCGAGTACTACCTCGACAAGCTTGGTGACGGTCGCAACAGTGAGTTCTCTTGGCACGGACTGCTGCCGCGTGAGCCTACGACAAGACGTATCAGTGACCTCGCGCCGCGTCGCGGTCGGACCCTGGCAGCTTGGTCGCGTCCATGGCTATAAAAAGTCCCGTTGCAGTAGCTTATCAATGAAATGTCTCAATCAGACATTATTTTCTCGAGTATGTCTCTTTTTCACAAACTAAAGCTCCAATTTGAGCTATATTTGATACATCACCACCGTCGAAGCTTTGAGTGGGGTCGGTTGGCGCTAAATTTATAACTTTATAGCGAGTCATGACGGGCGATAGCGTCGGCGTCGGCGCGCCGCCCGAGCCCGTCGTCATTACGATCGATGACTTTGATCAAGACGCGAGCAGCGACGGAGAGCTGCTCAATAGTCCCCGGTCCCTCGAGGTACACTTGCTCAATCCAATGATCGCAACGCGGACCCCTGTAGGCGTGTTGTGAGGTGGGTGTGACGCCGGCCGAGCTCCTTCGCCGACCGCTCTCGTACTTTGAGCGGCCCCACGAGTCGGCGTCGTTGACGCAAAAACGAGCCGAGCGCTACGAGCGGCACCGCGAGCAGCTTTTCGACCAAGTGCGCGCCGTGCGGCAAGCGCTTCTGCAGACCAAGAAGCCGCAGCCGTCGTCGCCGGGCAAAAGCACGATCGTCGCGAGCCATTCGCTGAGCCCCTCCAAGAAGGCGCGGACCTACGTGTCGCTGCCTACCGAGCATACGACGACTACCCAGGGCGGGATATTCGAATCGACGATGCTCGAGACGGAGCGTCGCCGCTTGGAGAAGATCCAGCAGCGCCAGCTCATGGAGATGCAACAGCTCATGCACATGGAGCTAAAGCGCGCAGAGATGGACGCCGCCATGCAGCAAGCCGCCGAGCAGCGCAAGATGCGGGAAGACGCCATCGAGCGCGACAAGGCGCGGCGCGCCAAGGACGCCGACGACGCACGCCGCCGCCGCGAGGCCGAAAAGGTTGGTCCATCCGCCCTCTATCTCCATAGCATCATTGGGGCATTGCAGGCAGCGCAGGAAGCCGAGGCTATCTTGCAACAAAAGCGGCTCGCTCAAAAAGACTATGAAGACACGCAGCGCCGAAAAGCCGCGGACATCCTAGAGGCCAAGGCGCGCAAGGCGGACGCTGCGCGTCGTGAGCGCGAGCGGCAGCGCAAGCAAGACGAGCACCACGAAATGACCCAAGAGATTCTCACCGAGCTCCAACAACAGGTGCCCGCCGTCACGCCATCGTAAAGGAGTTGCCGAGTGGTGTCGTAGGCCATGGCGCGGATGCACGAAATGAACGTGCGCGAACAACTGCGGCGCGAGAAGCTCGAGAAGGCGCGCGACGACCGAGCCCGCCAGGTGCACGAGAAGGCCATGCGCAACAAGGCGCGCATCGAACACGTCCTCACCGACAAGGAGCGGCTTGCCGAAGAACAGCGAACGGCGTTGGAGCGACGACAGGCCGAGAGCGAGCGCCGCCGGCAGCAGCACGAACATGAATTGCAGCTGCGAAAGCAAGAACAAGCCGAGCTCGAAGAAGCGCGGCGCGTACGTCGTATGCAAAAGGTCACTGCACGTCACCTTGCGATCGATAGGCGATGGAGGCCGAGATCCGCGACAACCAGCGACTCGCAGAAGAAGAGAGGCGGCGAAAGCTCCTTGAGGCCGAGACCGAAGCCGAGTACCGACTGCGCAAGCGCGAAGAAGCCAAGGAGCGCGAGCGCAAAGAGAAGCAAAAGGAAGACGAACGGCGACAAGAAGAGCGCGCCCGCGTCGCTGCACGCATGCGGGAGGTCGAGGAGGTCCGCGCGACCACCGTGCTTCACAAGACGGTCGAGAAAGGCCGGCGCACCGAAACCGTGCGTCGCTCTCTCTCAAGTCCTTGCGCCTCTTATCGCACGATTTAGGTTCAAGAGAAGCGCCGGGCCGAGCTCCGAAACAAACTAGAGGACGCAAAACTTCGGGAGGAAGAGATTGCACACGCGCTCGAGCGGCAAGCCCGAAAAGATGTAAGTCGACGACTATACGCCCGATAGCTTTCTCTACAGCGTACGTAGGACTACCACCGCAGTCTTCTGCAGGCCAAGCTCCAAGCCGACCACGAACGCGCCGAGGCGCTGCGACGACAGAAGGACATGCTCCTCAAGCAGCGCCAAGTCGCGCAGCAAAAGGCCAACGTCCAGCGGCACGAGATTCTCGATAGCTTCCACCGCATGAAGGTCGGATGCTATATAGAGCCGGCGATAGCGATGCACAAGTTGTCGATTAGGTCACCAAGAAATTCGACTTGAGTAAACTCGCGTCCAAGAACGGCATCGATCTCTCCGTGCACCGCACCCAGAGGGTACAAGCGACAACCGCCAAAGACGACATTGCCAAGTCGCTCGACGGCCGCCCACCGAGCGGCCGAATACCGGCGCGCCCCAAACGACCCGCCACCGCCAAGACCCGCAAGCCACCGCCTGCTACGGCCTCGTCTGCTTGTCGCGAGCGGTAGTGTCTCCGTTGTCGGTGCATTTGAATCCAATCATGGGCGTAGGTACATCAGCCGCCGCATCTCTCGGTACCCTCGGCACGAAGCTGCAGCGTCCTCATCGTCGCCAGCAGTCACGAGCGTGCCTCTTGAAGTCTCCAACGAAGACGCGGTCCGGGATCAACTCGATCAGTTTCGTCGGCGACAGAACCAAGAGCTGCTCCACGTGCTCGAAGAAGAGCAAGCGGCAGAGGAGCAGCGCGAGATCATCCTGCGCAACGCCGGCGACGTGTCGGAGCGCCGGCGACTCGAAAAGATCTTTGGCGTCGAGCGCAACATGGCGAGCGAACGCATCATGCGCCTCACCGAGGAGCACGAGATCATGTTTACGCAGCGCATGGCCGACCTCGACGTCCACTGCGCGTCGCCCCCCAAGTAGCTAGCTGTACATACACGCCATCATCCTCTTCGCGCGTCCCCATCCACCACGCAGCACGATAAACATGTCGATGGGAGAGCTAATACCGTTGACGTTCCGTGCCTTGTTGACGTTGAAGCACCCTTAGGGCTGGGGGTACAAGGTGCAGGACATACATCTTTGTAGTCGGCCGTCACAGGGTCAGGCGCTGCACCGTGGCCCGGCCGCCCGATGACGACGCTGCCAACCTTGCTCGACGACGAACTCGTCACCGTCCCGATTTCTTTCCAGGAGCGCCTCAAGACCCGCGAAGTTCTCTCTTCGCGCCCAACTTCAGCGTGGAGCTGACCGAGGCGATCCTTGCCGCTTGTCGCGCACGACGCTGCCCCATCCTTCTGTGCTCATATGCGGCAATCGTCTTCCATGGAGCTTGCCGCCAGCACGGCCGCATAAACACGGGAATCTACGTCCTAGCTATCAATCTATCAAGTCGAACGCATGGACGGGATTGGTGGATCGGAAGGTAGTTTATATTAGAAAGGATACAGCACACACTACGCTTGAACAGAGACGACGTTGTGGTTGAGAAAACGCCACTCATTGCACGCCGTTGGTCGCGACGAACTGCGAAAAGAGCTGCGTCTTGACAAACACTTGGTAGAACGCCGCGTCGGACGCGTCACGGTGCTTGAGGAACCCGACGTTGTCAAAGACCACCATGCTGTCGACCTCGTCCGAGAGCGGAAAACTAAACTCTTCCATGTCGGCCATCATGTCAGTCCACGTCTCGCGGAAGAGCGAGCGGATCGCATCTTGCGGGAACGGTCGCGGCGTCGGCGGCTCGAGCGTGTCGGCAAAGGCCACACTTGGCATCCAGAGCTCGGCGAGTCGAGCGGCAAGGCCGTGACGCACGGCGGGGGCAGTTCCATGGGCGCGTTCAGGACCTCGTGGCTGTCCAAATGCACGAGCACAACCTCGTCTTCCTCGTCCGACGCTTTCAAGAGCGAGTGCACGTGGTCAATCTGGTTGGCGTGGACGCCAAAGAGGTACGGCGTCGGGCAGTGGAGGCACTCGAGCATTCCTGGCGGCAAGAGCGGCGCGTACACGTGGGGCCACTGCAGCGGTGCGAGGAGCGATTTGCACGCTTCCGCGACCGTCGTGAGCACCGAGACATGCGACGAGATGAGCACGATCTTGCGCTCCAAAAGCAGACTCGCAAACAGCCGCAGAATCGCATCGAGATGCAGACACAAAAAGAGCGGCTGCATGGAAAAGTCCACTGCGTGGCTGGCCGGAAACGGCGTCGGCGTCGATGGCAACGGGGCCGTCAGCGCCGCGACGTGGCGGCTGCTCCACGCAAAGTCGAGGTCGTTGTAGCTCGGGTCCGTGAGCACGTCGAGGTGCAGCGTCGTGAGTCGCCGCCGCAGCGTATCAAACAGCGGGTACCGACTCAAGACGCAGATGCCCGCGGCCACGTACACGCGGAGACTCTTTTGTTCGAGCAGCACGGCCTCGAGCGGACTCAAAAACTCGGACGACGTCATCGGCACGTAGCGCGTGAGGCACACCATGTAGAACGGCCGCTCGGTGCTGCCGACAACCACGTGCACGAGCGACGGCGGCGGCGGCGACGTCGACCGGATCGTGGCCGCCGACGGACATAGAAAGCTCTCGAGGTGGTCGGGCAGCGTGTGGTGGTGCGCGATCGACTCGTCTTGCGGGTAGACGTTGGCGAGCGCGTAGAGCACCGTTTGGTTGAACCGGCCGCGCGTCGCAACATTGCTCGCAAAGGAGAGAACGCCCGAGATGCAGTGCGGCGCGCCGCCGACCTTGTGCAGCGCAAAGGAGGTCAAGCGCGGTCGCTGCGGCTGGTGCGAGATGACGTTCATGCAGTGGAAGAGCTCCGGTAGGCTCGTCGTGCTCGAGTCGGACGACGACCCGGAGCTGCTCCCGTTGCTGCTGCTGCTGCGAGAGTCTTTGAGCGTCGCGACCGAGAGCGAGTGGTGCAACGGGCTTAAAAGGCGGTGCTGGAACGACTGCAGCATCGACTGGAACGACCTGGATTGCAGAAACCGTACAAAATGGTTCATTTGGAGGTCGTCCTTGACGTAGCACAAGATCGAGCGCAGCGTCAGGCCTGCTTGCTGCACCTGCGTCGCACTCAGCAGCGTATCGAGCGACCACGACGAAATGTGGTGCTCGAGCACGTCAAAGAGCGCGCGCTCGCCTTCGCAGAGCACGTGTACTTCGGCTGTTGCGTGCGGCGCCATGTACTTCTTCCACAGCACGCGCCCAAGGTGCACGATGGCGCGCGAGTGGTCAATGTCGATGCGGCTGCTGCTGCTGCCGTCGATGCTGCGGCGTGGCACTTCGTCATCAACGTCGCTTGCAACACCAGCATGGAGGTACTCGTCCATGAGCGGTAGGAGCCGCATCGTGGCTTCCATCCAGAAACTCAGCGGGCCGTGGCTGCGCTCCTTGAAGAGGAAGACCCAAAAGACGCAGCAGAGGCGGCGGTTGGAGAGCACGCGCTCAAGCGTAAAGTTGGCTTTGGTGTGGTCAACCTCGACATCGTGGAGGCTTGTCGCGACCGTCGTGTCGATCATCGAGACCTTGACCTGCAGGAGCGCGCGGCCCTCGGCCGTGAGCCGGAAGGCCTCGAGGCTCGGCTCCAATGCAGTGATCACGGCCTTCTGGACATCCAGAAAGAGGTCTGCGTCGGAGCTCAAGCCCGAGCACATGCTAAGGTCGTTCTTGAGAAACGTGCCATAGGTCGCAATCGGCTGGTCCTGGACGCGAAAGCTGTCGTCGCCAATATGGAAGAACGAGTCGTCGCTCATGTACTTGGCGATGATCTTCTTGGCGTAGCTGCCGCGGAGGCTCGACGGACTGGTCGGGCTAATGGTCGGCGTGGCGCTAAAGAGCTTCTTGAACTCGTCGACGCTGACACTACGAGCGGCGTTAGCCTCACATCGAGTCCATGGCCCGACGTACAGGAAGAGGAGCCGCGAGAAGTTGACCGTGTCATGCACCGAGAGGTACTTGAGGAAGACTGAGTGCATATGCGGGTCATGCACGACCTCTTGGACCGTCAGGCCGTGCGATGGCATGCTGCGTCGGCGGCTGAAACCAAAATGCAAGCCAACCAGGACAGGATTTTGACCAATCACGATGCTGTATTTTGTGCCCAGGGGCTGCTTTCGTCATCATATATAGACACGGTGGCCCTGCCCTTACGTAGACATCAGAATAAGATTCCGCATAGCGCAGCTAACCTTGGCGACATAAGTCTGATTACACCCTGTCCACGTCATTGCAACCAGCCGCCATCCCTGAATGCAGGCCAAGACAAAGACGCCTGCACAAGAGGTGATTTTGGAAGCAAATACCATGGAGCGACGACCTCCAGCAGCAGCAGCGCAAGCAGCAGCGTCGTTAGTGTGCGAGTAGTCAGTCGCATGACTATCATTCTACTCTAGCATGCGACCCCTCATTATTTGGCGCCACATTTTCATGGATACTTTTTTCACCAAATGTTGAAGCGATGGCGAGGGGACGAGGGAGAAGGGATGCATGGAGCGTGTGCATTTAGGCTGGAATTCCCCATACCGGATATCGTAATGTGCCTTTCTTGGGCAGTAGAAGCGATGCTTTCCGGCAGCCGTATATATACGATTCTCGGAGCCGCATGTGATCAGCGCCGCGCGGTATCTTCGTCCTAAATAATTTTGAGAGCTCCAATTTACGGCATGCCAAACTTGTTGCCACAAATGGTGCACATAGGTTGCGGCCGCGGGCGGGCCGCAGGGGCGCTTCCACGATGCTCGCTCAGATGTACTAGTACTCTGCACTGGCGGGTTGCAAAATGCCCGCTAGCGAAAAAGAACACGATTTCTCAAACTCGTGCTGGAGCCTCAACTCGTATGTCGGTGTCGCACAGCCCGTGGGATTCGATCCACCGCGTTTTCGCTCCCTGCTTGGCGACGAGACGGCGCTCACAGAGGTCGTTCGACTTGGTTCGACGCTTCCAGCAACCAGTTGGTCGTTCGCTGACAAGCCTGAGCCGCGCGACGCGCCGTCGACGAGGTTCTGGCACCAATCGAGCTCATCAGGCACGACGGCAGGACTCTTATCATCCATGTCAATTGGCGTCTCCTTCCGCATCGCCGTCGTCGAGTAGGGGTTCATGATACAGCAAAAGCTCCTGGACACACCGAACGCAACGGTGAGGAGCCTGGAGAGAGCGCGCGTGTGACGAAGTGAGTGGTGAGCCATGTACACAGTTATGCAACGCTTGCACAACAGTCATTTGTCCAATCATATCATCGTCGCATTCTAAAACCGGCGATGGCCGTCAACCCCGGGCCTCGGGTACGGCGCGCGAGTCGTCGTGTGGGGCCGTCTTGGTGACATTCTAGTATGTACTAGGGCATGACGCGTCCTACGTCATCGCCAGCACCGCTGCGACTCTTGCACAGCGCTGTGAATCGGCCTCGGCTAGCGTCGGCCGTCCGCGGCGGCTGGCGCGACGTTCAAGAAGAAGATCAAGCAGCCGAGCGTCGCAGAGCGCGACCGCGTCCTCAAGGCGCTGGTCGCCAACAATTCGCTCGAGCTCTACCAACTCGGCGCCGTACGACCTCCTCCCTACGCTCTTTGGACCATGTTGAAGGTGATCGATCATCTAGGTCATTGGCAACGGCCAGTTTGGCCAAGTGCGCACGGGCGTGCACCGCTTGAGCCAGCGCCGCGTCGCACTCAAAGTCTACTCCAAGTCGAAAGCGATCGTGTCGGACCAGATCGCCTCAATCCAGAAAGAGGTGGCGTGGTCGTCTTTCAGATTCTGGGTTTTCCACATGTGGCATTGTTGCAGATTGACATTATGAAGGAAATCGACCACCCCAACATTGTGCGTCTCTACGAGATCCTCGAGACGAAAGACCACATTACGATTATCATGGAGCACTGCGACGGGTTCGCTTGCTGTCGTATGACGGCAATGTCACATATCTCGCAGGGAGGACCTCGGCAAGTACATGGCTCGCAAGACCAAGCTGGACGAAGGCGCGGCGCGCGTTATCTTTCAGCAAATCACCGACGCAATCGGCTATCTCCACCGAAAGCACATTGTCCATCGCGACATCAAGGTACTTTGATTTTCAACTGATGCATGTGGCGAGCAACCCTTTGTAGCCCCAAAATATCCTCATTCAAGAGAGTGCGGGACGACCTCCGTTGGTCAAGCTCGTGGATTTCGGGCTCGGGGCGAGGGACACGACCAAGGCGCAGCAGAAGCTCACGGCCTTTTGCGGCACGCCCGCTTTTATGGTATGATGCACGTTTGCTTCGACACGTTGTCGTTGGTGTTACGAGCATGGTTGTATTTAGGCGCCAGAAATCATTGCACACGAGCTCTACGAGGGCAAGTACGTACAGTAGCACAATCTTGGTGTCGTGATGGAAATATGTCACGTCTTGTAGACCCGTGGACGCATGGAGTCTTGGGGTCCTGCTGTATCTTTTGGTCACGGGAAGCATTCCCTTTGATGCGCCGTCGCCCGCGCAGCTCTATCCTAAAATCTGCCGTGGCGTGTTTGAGATGCCAGCTCATCTCTCCCCGTCGTTGGTCGACCTCCTTCGTGCTGTGCTCACCGTCGATGTCAACCAGGTGCGATAGATGATCGCGTCGGGATCCATTCTCTCGAAAGCGACGTGTAGCGCCTGTGCGTCGAGCAAATGCGGCACCACCAGTGGCTGTGCGTTGAGGAGGTCGTCGCAAAGCGGACACCTGTCATGATCGACTCGATGACGTCGCTTTTTGTGGCCGAGGCCAGCACCCACCGCGCGATTCTCGCCGAGGTACAACTAGACTATCCGACTCACCGGCCGTCGCGACAATGTTGTCTTGTGGCACAGATGACAATCTATGGACTGCAGAAAGAGGCCATTTTGGACGACTTGGCGTCGAAAACTTACAATGGTGTCACGGCGTGGTACCGGCTCCTGCACTTGCAGGCGCTGCAGACGAAGCGGAAGCAGTCGGCACTTCTCGCGCCAAGCAAGACGCAAGCACTAAAGAAGCCGGATACCGTCTCCAACAATGCTGTCCTTTCGTCCATGGACTTTGCTCGGTTCCTACAAGAAAAGATGTCGATCGCCAAAGACGCGCCGACGCCCGCCTTTGCCATCAAACCGAGCTGCTCGACGACCGACTTGTAGTAATACCACACTTGCATTCGTTCAATCGTCAAGACGTGGGGTCCACACCCCATATACAACGTTGTTGCGCATTGAATGACAATATTTCCACACTGCAGATTCGCAGCTAGACGCGGCGGACGATTTTTGGTGCTGGCAATTCGACCGCCAATATCCGGATACATCCGGATAGCGAGGGTCCATTTAAATTTCAAACATGTCCAAGCGGGAGACGGACTCGGCGGCGGCAAGGTCAAGCGCGCCGGCGAAGCGGTAGCACCGACATGGGCGTCTGCCCGATGGAGTACGATGACGAGGAAGCGTAGGTTCCGGCTCTCCAGCGGGTCCAAGATCCCGGTGGTTGTGGCGGCGACGACGGTGCCAGGGGCGAAGCGGGTGATGGAGCGCCCACGCACCGTGCCGAGAGAGGTGGTTGCCGCGCCCAAGAGGTACTTTGCCCATGCAGATGTGGCGTCTTCTTGACTGCCTGTAGCAGGCCGGTTAAGAAACCGAGCGACGACGCCGAGCCATCGCGACCGCCCAAGGCCCCACGGGACGACGATTCGCTGCTCACCGACAAGCATGCAGAGCTGCTTCGGCAGAGCAACCATTTTCTTGAAATCAGCGAAACCTTCAAGCTCAAGGCCGATGTCGAGCGCCTCATGAGCAGAATTGCACAGCTCGAAGGTCGTCGCCGTGTGGCGGCTCGCATCGATGGTCATTCAACTAACCAGCGTCATTGTAGACCGAGAGAAGAAGCACGTGGCCGCAAAGAAGAAGCTAGCAGAGTCCAACAAAGTGTTGGTAGAGCAGAACGCAGAGCTCACGCAGCAGAACAAGGAGCTGCGAGAGACCCGTGCCGAGGACAAGGTCAAGATCCGAGACCTGCAAGCCCAGTTGGACCGCAAGGTATTGCATTAGCCAGATGTCGTTTGGCGTGACCACCAACCTACGTAGAGAGACAAGGCTGCGAATGTGCGAGAAGCCAAAAAAGATGTGCCAACTGCAGAGCTACCCCCAACAAAGTCGAAAGCCGAGTACACAGCAGTCCTTCAAGAGCGCCACGCCATCATTGCCCAAGGCCTCGACGAGTCGAGAAAGACCGAGTACGTTTCCCACACGCCAGCATCGACCAAGTGGCTCACCTCGTGTCTCTCTACCTCTAGGGCGCTGTTGCGGTCGCTTTTGGCGGAGCTCGATAGTCCTTAAACTAATAGTAGTGTGTAAACCTAGTCCTAAACATCCGTACCGGTAGGTGCACTGATGGAGGTTGCTATAATGTCATCCCGAGATGGAACATGAAATAGTGTAAATTGCACTTTCAGCAAAATGGCGGTCAAGAAGCGACGAGGTCAAGGCAAGGCCGAGACGCCGCCGAGCAACCGAGTGGCCACGACGAGCGAAGATGCGCGCGATGAGCCGGCCTTGCCGCTGCCGCTTCGCATGGCCATGATTGCCATCACGTCCGTCTTGGCGGAAAAGGGCTGGCGCAACCGCGAGGTCGTGACCGTGTATCTCTACAACGACAACCAGACGTCGACGGAGCAAGCGATGATCTCTGTCTTTGCGTACGTTCTGCTCATGGGCGTGCTCTTTGCCAGCGGGTTTCTCCTGAGCCTCCTCACCAACATGATCAAACACGTCTGGTTCCGCAAAGCGTAGTCGAGACTCCAGTACTATTAATGACACGTCAAAATCCTTCTTTCTCGCTCGACTAGATTGCGTTTGGGATTTCGCTCGGCGGGTTCCACATGATGTGGCACATCATGGCGACGATGCGCTTGGGTCCGAGCGTCGATGCGCCGAGCGCCATCATCTCGGACGTGAACGAGTCGTAGACCGTCTCGACGCCGGCGAGCATCGCGTCGACACCCGTGTTTGCCGCGGCCTTGGCGTCGCCTGCGATCATTGGCACGTTGAACATGACGGCTTGGGGCGTCCCGCACTTTTCTTGGAACGCTGTCGGGATTGGGCCCGGGCTCAGCGCCGTCACGCCAACGTTATAGCGGCGCACTTCGTAGTTGATGCTCTGCGAGAAGCGGAGCACCATGGCCTTGGTCGCGCCGTAGATCGCTGACGTCGGCATTGGCGACGCTCCCGAGACGGACGCAATGTTCAAGATGCGCCCACGGTTGCGCGCAATCATGCCCGGCAAGAGAGCATGTGTGAGCTGGACAAGCGCGGTGACATTGATTGCGACCATCTCGTGCACGGCGGCGCGGGTCTGCGAGTGAAACGCGCCTTGGTACCCGAGACCCGCGCAGTTGACGAGGATGTCGACCTCGACCTCTTCCTTGGTCACGAGCGCTTCAATGGCCGCGACGCCCGACTCGGGCGAGGACAGGTCGGTGGGGCAGACGTAGACGGTGACGCCAAGCACGTCCCGCATCTCTTTCGCGATGCGCTCGAGCGTCGCCTCGGTGCGCGCCACGAGCACGAGGTTGAAGCCTTTCTCCGCAAGTGCAAAGGCAATCTCACGCCCGAGCCCGGACGACGCGCCTGTGACGACGGCAACGCCCTTGGCGCGCGGCTCGAGCGGCACGAGGCGGCGCGCGTGCCAGTGAAAGAGCGCGACGTCCAGCACGCAGAGCAGAAAGAAGAGGTACGAGAGGTACGAGAGCACTTGGTAGCTGCGGTCGGCCGAGACGCGACCGCGGTACAAGACGTACGAGAGGAGGCCAAAGACCCACACGCCGACGTGGAAACGCTGCGGCGCAAAGGTGAGGTTCATGATGGCGGATTGGAAATGATGACGCATGTGTTTTCGTGCGTATCCGGAGGATTCGACCGGTGCTTGTCACGGAGGTCGACTCGACGAAGCCGCACGTCTGTGCGTCGAGATGCTGGCGCTGCAGCCCGATGCGGACCAGTATGGGCAAGCCATACGATGGCATGATCTTTTGGTGGTCAAATCTTGGTAACGTTATCCAGAAGGACGCTTTTCGAGGCGCCGGACCTTGGTCCGACCACGAAGCATCGACGATCGCAACGCAGTCCTCGCGCTCTCGGCACCACGGAGCTGCGCCAGGGAGGCAGGTATCCGTATCGTCTCTTACTTGTGGCATGCGTATCGCTTGAACAGCAGAGCGTCGTGTGTTCGTGGCGGTGCGCATGGTACAAGGATGCGATATGCCATTATCATTGCCAGAAGAAAAGCGCTGTCTGCTCACTGGGTAGAGCAGTACAGCTTTGGCTCGCACCGTGGACGCTGCGCACTCAGATCTGAGAGGCTCGAAGCTCATGGGCGGCGCCGGTATCGTGCCAACGGGCCCTGTAGGGACGTCGCTACACAGGCTCCTTGGTGGCTCGCAGGGCGTCGGGCTTTGCGGCCAAGGGTGCACGCATGTATGGATCAAATATATTGTCCCCAATACTTACGGTCATCTACGCACGCAGACACGAACGAGGCGAGTCTAGTTGGTCTTTTCCAGCTGGGCCACGCGCTTGGCCAAGCGGGCGTTGGACTCGACGACGTCGTTCTTCAACGCGCCGATTTCCTTTTGGATCTCGGCGTTCGAGAGCTTCAAGTCCTGGCGGATCTGGTAGACGGCGCCAGCGCCAGCGAGGCCCGCGCCGACGCAGAAGGCCGTCAGGCGCTGGAGCAAGGACGAGCCGGCCTTCTTGGGCGCAACAGGGGCGGCCTTCTTCTCGGCCACGGGCGCGAGCTCCGTGGAGAAGTGGCGGAGAGGCGCCTTCATAAGACGGGCAGAGGCACGGCCAAGCATCGTCGGTCGTCGGAGGTCTATTGGATGGTGCCAACGTACGGCCGGCAGTGGGGATTTCCGGATGCAAACATTATCCGGAATTCATGTCATAAAATAGAACTTTCTCATTTTTTTTAGACAAACGCATAAATAGTTTAACTTTAGTATGTATTCGTCAACATGGACATTAAAATAGATGAAGGAATTGTATTCTATGGCGGCACGGGCACGGCTCCTTGCCTCGGATAGTTGCATCATCCAAAACCAAGCAAAATGGGTGTCCATGTCCAGACGACGGAAGCCGGCAACGGCGCCAAGCCCAGCCGTGGCCAGACGTGCATCATGCACTACACGGGCAAGGTAGTTGACGCGCTGCCTCACTACCCATCGCTATGCAACTCATCCCGGCTCTGTGCATGTAGCTTGAGGATGGCACGGTGTTCGACTCGTCGTACAAGAAGGGTCGCCCGTTCCAGTTTACGCTCGGCGTGGGCCAGGTCATCCGCGGTGCGTGGACTGCATGAACGACATGCGTGGAGGACCGTAGCATGCTCAAGGATGTACTGTGCGTAGGCTGGGATGAAGGTGTCGCCCAGATGTCCAAGGGTGAGAAGGCTGTCTTGACCATCTCGTCGGACTTTGGCTACGGCGCGCGCGGTGTCCCCGGCATCATCCCCGGCGGCGCCACGCTCCTCTTTGAAGTGCACCTCGAAGATTTCCAGTAAGGCGTTGAACCTCCCGTTGGCGGAGGCGTCGCTTGTAGATATGCCATAGCTACCAACTTGTAATATACACAGCTGCGCCGACGCCACATCTTGGTTACAGCCCATGACAATGGCGCTGTGACGTCTCGTCCATGGCGTTGGCTGATCGTTGTCATACTCGGTCACCTTTGTCATACTCGGTCACCGTCGGGATCTCATTGTCGTGAGGGTGAACCATAAATCACTCTTCGTTAGTCTCTATCTACTGCGCCTACTTGATCAACGGCTTGGCCACCGCGTCACGGAACGACTTGAACGGCGCGAGGCCAGGGAACTGCGTCTGGAAGAAGAACGCCCGGAAGCCAGCGTTGGCCGAGAGACCGGCCGGCGCCGCCGTGGTCTCGGCAACCGCCGAGGTCATGGTGTGGAAGCCCTGGCGCTGCTTGTGCTTAGGGTGCTTGTCGCAGATGACGTAGACCTTGCCGCGGCGGCGGACCGTCTTGCACGCATCGCACATCTTCTTCACGGACGAGCGGACCTTCATGCTTCCTGCTTGGGTTTCTTCGTTCACTGAGGTGGTTGGTCCAAACAAAGTGTATTGCACCCTCTGCAATGCGATACAATAGCGTATCTAAATGTGCGGGTCCTTCCTAAATGAATATCATGGAGGTATCAAGTGATGTAGGACCTGTATGTATGTATACGATCGAACGATAGAGGTTTGCGAAGAGACAGCTGAGCGTGGTAAATTACATTTCCCACATGCGGTGGGTTTTGTCCACGTCATCGTCGACTTCAACGCACAGAGGCATGCTGGACGCGGCTTCGATTAGCTGGTTGACTGCCGAGTGTACCCGTCAATAGCGCAAAATATGTGCTTCTCCGAACCGCGCATCCGAGACTTGCACCTTGGTTGCCAAGTGAGGTGCGATGTCTCTGCGATAAGGTCATCAGTGGGCCGTAGTCGTGCCCGCAGACTCCATTGGAATGCCGAGCCGCAGCTCTGATGTCATCACATGCATGTTCATTTTTCACGTGAGCAGGCTTTATAACACACGAGCGCTCTTTTCTAACGCCATAAGCGTCATCTATGGCCCTCGAGAGGGAGTGTGCACGACGAGGTGTGTCATCCCGGTTGCCTCGCAAGGGTTCCACGACGCACTAAGGTAGTTTTAGCAACGACGATGATCGGTAAATCAACCTGGTTCCAGCGCTGCATGTGCACAGTGCGACGGGCAAAACGCGATCTTTGTATTTTTCACTTGAATCCAACGTGGGGTCGCGGTCGTTTCGCGTGTAAAACGTGGGTTATGCGAATTCGAGGAGCCCAAACGAGGCAAACCACAACTTGCAATGGACTTCATCACGGAAGACACGTCGTTCGCGGCCTACGGCGCTGCGGCAGCGGCCATTCTCATCTTGCTCTTTGTGCTCCTCAAGCTCTGCGGCGGCGGCGCGGGCCTCGGCGGCAGCGGCCGCGATGTCGTGCTCCTCGTGGGCCCGTGCGGCGCGGGCAAGACGGCCCTCTTCCACCGCCTCCGCAATGGCCCGACCAAGGTCGAGACCGTGACATCGATGAAGGAAACGATGGAGACATTCCCGCTCTTTGACGAGGAGAATGCCACGATCTCGATCTGTGACTTTCCCGGCCACGAGCGCATGCGCTCGACAGCGACGCAGTTCTACCCGATCGCCAAGAAGATCATCTTCGTCGTCGACGCCACGACGGCGAACGACGCGTCGCACATCCGCAAGGCTGCCGAGTAAGCCCGTATCGCAAGCCATATTGCAGCGACTCACTCGGTCGACTAGGTTCTTGTACGACATCTTTACGCACCCCAAGATCAACGACGCCGGCGTGCCCGTGATGATTGCGTGCAGCAAGACCGACGATGTCAAGGCGGCGACGCCGGCTACCGTTCAGTCGCTCCTCGAGACCGAGCTGTGCGTGCATCCGCTTGGTTGTACCCGCCTTATGCTTTGCGTAGGACGCAGCTCAAGTCGACGCGTGCGTCGCTCGAAGCCCATGGCGACGACGACGAGTCGATCCCGCTTGGCCGCGACAATGCGTTGTTTGAGTTTGCCATCGACGCGCCGTGCGATGTGACGTTTGAGGGCTACTCGATCCAGACGCCGGACGCGCTCAACCCGCTTCTGGACTTTATCATGCAAGACTAAGAAAAGCAGCGCTTGCATCGTCTATGCTTGCAAGAGAAAGGGTGGATATGGCATGTGGTATGTACAAGATTAACCAAGCAGCGCCGCCGTGGTCTGCCCGAGGCCATAGAGGTGCCCCGAGTACTTGATCGCATTCTCGACCTTGCCGTCGCAGTAAAAGTCGAGCATTTTGAAGAAGACGGCGGCCGTCAAGAGCGCGTCCGAGCCAGCTTGGTGCATAATACCGATGCGCTCGACCTGCATGCTTCGGCCAAGCGGCTGAGCCCGCCCATCTTGTCAAAGTCGAGAGCGAGGTACTTGAGATCATACGTGTCGGGGAAGAACGTGTGGAGGAGGTCGAAGAAGCTCTCTTCGTCCGACGGCAGCGGCGCGCACGTGAGCACCTTGAGAAGGTACCCAAAGTCGTACGAGCCCTGGAAGCTCAGCCACTTGATGTCGGGGTTGAGCACGAGGCCACTGGGCACGAGGAGCTCGCTATCACCAGAGCTGTGAGCCACCTCCATGCCATTGCAAGAAGAGCGTACCCGAAGCGCGTGACCTCGATGCCCGACTCTTCGTGTTTGGCAAAGTCAATACCCGACTGCTTGAGGAGCTCGATCGAGTTCTCGGCGTACATGTCTTCGCCGAGCGAAAACTTGAAGTTGAATTGCCACACGGGCACGTCGTTCATGACGGTGCCATCTTCGTGGAAGAAGGCAATGCCGAGCTGGATGATGCGCAAGAGGTCTACGTTGCAGCGCAGCGTCTGGTACTGGTACTCGGTCGACGTCGAGAAAGACCCGATCGGCCGCGCCACGACGCCCGGGAACTCAGTGTCCATGGCCACGTAGCACTTGCGCCGAACGACTTCGCGGATCGCCTTCATCTCGTCCTCTAGGTTCGTCGCCCATACATCGCGGATCTCGATCTCGTCCGGCATGCTGCTCCTGCGTCCGTCCTGTGGCCGCTCCGAGTGTATGAGGGCTCCGTAACCGGATACGACGCCAGCCGGATACGAAACACTATCCGGCAAATTCTTATCCGGAGGTGTGGCGATCTTCATGCCGAGCTCTTGGACTTGGATGCACACCGCTTCGCCAAGCTTCCATACCGATGCTTTTACACCGTGTATAGGTAATTAAGCCAGTGCGATGGAGAAACATCAGCAAGCATTTCCCATTTCCACCTCCTTTCCGAGTCCGAGAATGGTTGTCGTCGTGACCATCCTTGGACCAGGTCACGGAAAATGTCTCGTTCGCTCGATGATTTAGTCAAGAAGGCAGATATCTAGTCGACATCTTTTAGTCTAGCGGTATAGACACTGGTATACCACCAGGTAGATCCGGATTCAAGTCCCAGTGAGATCCCTACTTTCTGATTGCTTTCATGGAGAGTGCTCGAGACGCAGGTATAGCAAACACGTACCTCCTCCATCCCTCCATGGTTGCCATTGAACACGACACCAAACGATGTCTCAAGGCAATACATTATGGTTCGTATCTGCGCCGTGAAGCGTGCACCTGACGTTTGGTGCGGATGTGATCGAGGACACGGCGGCCTAGCGTGCTCAGCAGTCGGCTGGTGACATCCATCCAGTATCGCTTGCCGGCCGCAAGCTCAACGTGTCCAGGAGGCTAGGCCATGGCAGTGCGGACCTCGGCGGTGTGTATGGACCTGCGCCTATAATGCGCTGCAGGTTTGATCGACAAGTACGGCCCCGACGAGTGCCTGTGTTGAAGTGTTGCAGTCGCTGCAGACGACACGTTGGTGCTGGTCGATGAGACGTCTTTCTGTCGTGCCGACGATGCTGCCAGGAAGAGTATACCACCAACGCAATCAAGCACGAATGCTGCCGCGGCGCCATAGACGACAGAGCGCCAAGGTAGCAAGTGGCGGGAAATGCTAGTCAGCATATCCGGCAAGCGTCCGGATATAGATCTTAGTGTTGGATCGTTCGTTCATTTCCGATTTCGCCTTCAAGCCGAGAAGCGAGCATGAGCAGCGCGAGCCAGCAGCAGCCGACGGACGACGAAGAGCGCCGCAGCTTCCTCGCCTGGACCAAGAGCATGGACGCGCGGGATGCTGCGATCGACTTCGTCACGCAGTTCTGCGAGAGCATGGCGCGCGACCTGTACCCGCCGGCGTCCATCGAGCGCATCTTCGGCGTCGCCATGCCCACGACGGAGCCGGCGGTGTCGCCGGGCCCCATGTCGATGGAGGAGTTCATGGCAAGCATCCCGGTCACGACGAAGGCCATGTCGATGGGCAAGATTGTCTTTAACGTGTGGGTTGGTCTGCACAAGCAAGACTTCTTCAAGGAAGACGACATGGTCTTGGCGCTGTGGAAGGGCATGCTGCCCGCCTACTTTATGTACTGCGTCCTGAAGAAGTACCACGCCGGGAACGGCAGCTACTACGAGGCAGAACTTCTCCAGCGCGGGTTCCGTGCCATCGAATGGGACCTTGAAGTGCACGAAATCCTAACCAAGGAGCAGAACCCGCCTGCAAGCCAGTGGCAGGCGACGCCAACGAGCGACGTCAAGACGCCCGACGCCGAGCCACGCGCGGAGAAGGGGCCGCTCGGTCTGCTCGTCAACGGCAGCACGCTCTCGCCATGCGTCGTGACGATGAACACGATGTTTGAGAAGTGCCCGACCGCACATGCCGCTGGCATTCCCCTCTACGTCCGCAAGTGCGCCGGAAAAAGCAAGAAGGCTTCGTGCTACATCATCTCCCGGATGATGTCGGACCCTAAGATCGGCGTGGCGTCCATTCCCTGGACGTACGGCGGCGCTTGTGGTCCTGCGCCCCCCGTGCTCGTCGGCCGCAGCGATGGGGTGGCGTTCACTAAGGACGATTGGGCCGCCTTGGACGATTTCGTTTTCGGTATGATGCTCGACGACGGGCTGCGATCGATCACCCGCGCCGATTTTGTGGCGTTTGCACGGAGCCGCACCGACTCGAAGGCGGGTATCATCCTCGAAGCGCTCTTCCCGAAGGGCCGCGCCGTCGTCATCTCGGGCTTGCAGTCGAGCACGGAGCTCAACGGTCTTCGCGGGGTCGTCACGGGGAGCTACACCAACGGTCGTATCGGTGTCGCCATTGCCGGGCGCAGTGCGCCCGTGGCCGTCGCCCCCACCAAGCTCCAGACGGCGCCGTAGATTGCGGTGCTACTCATATGTTTGTCCGTGCATCGTTAGCGTTGATTCTGCATGTAAGAGGCTCCATAGTAAGAGCAATGATTTTCGTCCCATTTTCTAATGCGTCCATAGGATCGAGGTCTGCTCCACTTGGAACAAGCCAACATCTCGACAGCTTCTTCAATCTACTAGTGCTACATAGTGTACATCGAGCTACGTGTAGCTACTTGAGAAGCGTCAAGTGGGTCGGCAAGAGAGCGACGGCGGTCGCGCGGCCCTCAAACTTGACCCCGACGCGGCCCTTGCTGTACTTGCCGTTGGTCTTGCCCTTGGCCCCATTGAGCTCCGGATGCTTCTCGAGGCCATACGCGCGCACGGCTTGGCCACGTGGAAAGACCACTTCGAGCGCAATCGTGGCGACGGGGGCCGACAGCGCCTTGGCGAAAGTGGTAAAGTGACTTCGCATCACGACGCGTGGGCGCTGCTGGAGCATCGCGTCCTTGAAGCTGTCGAGAACAGCCCAGTCGGCCTCTGTAAATGGAATCCCGTCGCTTCGAACGACGAGGACTTCGAACGCCGCCGGGCCGCTGCCGCCGCCGACCCACTCGGTCGGCGCCTCGGTCGAGCACGGGTCGGCCATGAGGCGCGAAAACAACTGCGCGTCGCTCTGCCGCGCGCGCGTGGACGTCTTCTTGACATACAGCGGAATCGCGGCAGCGTGGGCAATGGGCACCGGCTGGAAGCTATCGTCCAAATGAATGTCCTCGGGCGTCACCGTCGTGCCACTGACGCGGAGGCCCGCGATCTCTTTGCCAGCGAGCTTGGCGAGAAGCTGGTGCAGCGCCAGATCCCATGCGATGTCGCTGAAGCCGCGATGCAAGAGCTCCGCGATACACGGACTCGCGGCACCGTCGGCCTGCGCCATGACGCACTCGCGGAAGAAGTTGGGAAGGCGGCCTTGCCACAGCGCGCTCACGACCGCTGCCTCGGAGATAGCGTTGGCCTGCGAGAGCCCACGCCACACTTGGAAGACGAGGTGGCCCATCGGTAGCATCACGAGGCGCGTGCTCGCGTGCTCCATGAGCTCGACGCCGAAAACGCGGTCGTAGCCGTGCGGCGGGAAGCTGTCGCGCCGAAGGCTCTCGAGGAAGACCCGCGCGACCGCGATCGCCGCTTCGCTTGGCCCGTCCTTGGCGATCTTGGCTCGCAGCTTGGCTCGTCCTGCGGACTCTGCGCCGTCGACCATCTAGCTGCTGCGTTCGGTCGCAAGTTCTGAGCACGTGGGTTCGGGCGCTGGCACCTCGCTTGTGATTGGCTTGATAAGCGAAGTTGCCACTTGCTTCGATTCGAAGATACGTTTTTCACACGGCATTTTTCACGGTGAGTGTTGGTGTGTGCGAAATGGTATCTTGCATTTTGGCGCCAAATCATTCATGCCAAGTGGTGGCACGAGAGAGACTCGCATCGAATGTCCTTTCCACGACAGTGAATACATGACAAAATGACGAACTAGACGACGCTATTCAATTCAATTGGGTCTGGTAGCTCCCAAAACGACTATTGAAGCACAACTATTACATACTAGATCGGCCTATTGCACGACACACCCTTGAAAATGGTCTTCATCGTCCGAGCTGAAGCTCAATCGACGGCGCTTACTGCTGCTCCCCGGTGCCTCCTCGATCGGTGTGTGGGCTAACACATCGTTCGGCACGTGAGCTTGCCGTGGCACTTGGATCGGAGCGCGAGCTGGCGTCGGTACGGCGATCGGAGCGGGGGCTGGCGTCGGCGTTTCGTGATGCGTCGGGGCAGCTGGTTTTGCTTCGAGCCGCATACTTCCTGGCTCCAACTCGAGCGTCGAGTACAACTGGCGCGCTTGCTTGTACTCGTTCTCGGTCTTGACTAGGTACGAGTCCCAATCGCTGGGCCGCAGTTTGGGCCAGTCATGGTCGCCGACGGGCTTGAAGTGTCGATCGACGTGGTCGCTCATCATGTCGGTGCGCAAGCGGTCGCAGCCGGCCGTGCAGTGGTCGACGACGACGCGCATGGAAAGAAGACAGTAGCGGCAGCAGTAGTCAGGTGGAAGCTTGAAGTACTGCTTGCGCCGTGGCGGCGCCTTGCCCGTCGTGACCTTGCCACTCAAGATTGCGCGGTGCAAATTGGTGCACGTCTTGGTCGAGTGGAGCTTGACGCAATAGTCACACGTCTCGTTGGCACCTCCAACCCAGCGCGCGGCGGTGGCAGGTTCGTCTTTTGCTTCTTGGAGCACGGGACGCGCCGACTTGATGTGCTGTGTCAGCGCAGCCTTATCCATGCGTTCGATGGACGACACGTCGCTCAGCACTTGAGTGCGCCAGTGGTGCGCGAGGAACGCCGTTTCCAAGCGCGTGGCGACCAGTGCCTTGTACGCCTCAAAGCGGTCCATCTCGACGGTACTCAAGAGCATAACGCACGGTGGCTTGAAGTGCAGAAGGGGCGAGAGGAAGGCGTCCGCCGCGTTGGAGACACCCCGAAGAAACACATCGACACCATCGGCCACCCGCGGTGGATGCAGGAGGCTGTCGAGAGACCCAAGCAAGCTTGGCTGCTCCTTGGTGAGCAGCGACAACCAGAGCTCGCGCGGATCACTCGTGCCAGCGACGACGCTGTGGAGACGCGGATGGATCGCAGAGACGAGGTACGCGTGCGCTTCGTTGGCGCGTCGGGGCCGCCCTTGCGTGATAAACGCCTCGAGAGCTGCGAGCACGCGCTCGTCTTCGCCGTTGGTGACAAGAGTGTGGCCGAAAGCTCGTAGCTCTGCGTCCACGTCGTCAAAGTTGGAGTGCGAGTAGTACGCGCGAAAAGGACACGCCTCCAAGAAGCCGGCCTTCCACGCCGAGAAGGTGTCGAAGGACTGGAGCAGTATTCCCGCGTAGCTGGCCATTGCAAAAAACAAATGGCCTCGCGACAGGCACACCTCGACCAACGGTGCGTTTCTGGGAAAGGGAGCTGTTGCGGCATCCCAACGAGCCCAACGGTGCGATCTCTTGTGTAGCCAGCGACTGCGCAGGCGCCTTGGGTAGATCGGCAAGAGAGCTTCAGGACGGAAATTTCGTGGTGAACGTCGCAATCTCCCTCGGTCGCTGACCATGTTGTCATCATTTCCACGTGTGGTCGATGCGTCGCAGAGGCCTGAGATTGACAACTTCCATTCCCCTATACCCCTCTCTGCCCGCCACTCGAGTTTGACTCGACGCTCACGATCGGCACCATAGTCGGGTAGGGCACCATGCACTGGCGCCGCCTCGCGCCGTCGCTGGCTGCCTAGTCTTTTGCCCCTCCATCCACGGTGATAAATACACGTCCCATATTGTTTTTACAGCGTGACGACGTCTACTTGGAGAGCGCGTTGGCGCGGAGCCAGTCGTCGAGTGTGCGTGCAATGTCCATCATACTCGGTCGCGCTTGCGGGTCGGAGCGCAGACACGCGGCGAGAAGCGATCGGTGTTCGTCGGGACACGCCGAGGCCGCGTCGATGCTGAGCCGGTGGCCTTCGAGCACGAGCGCCGCGGCTTCCTGCGGCGGCATGTCGCGGCCAAACGGCTCCGTGCCGACCATGATCTCATAGAGGAGGACACCAAACATATACGCGTCCGAAGCCGGCGAAAACACGTGGGGTAGCTCCAAGCTCTCGGGGGCCATCCATTTCAGCGGCCCGAACCCCGGTTGGTCCAAGACGTGGCCCTACGGACGATGCTCACAACCGCTATTCCATACAGCGACGCCGAGTACCATGCGGTCAATGGGCCGCGAGAGGCCAAAGTCACACACTTTGACGTGAAAATCTGCGTCCAGAAGGCAGTTGCTACACGCCGTCGTGACGCAACGTGGAAACTTCCGAGGACGTACCGAGCGGCAATGTCGCGGTGCAAGAACGAGCCTTGGTGGATGTTGAGCACGCCGTGGGCAGCGTCGCGGGCAAAGATCGTGCGCGGGTACACGCCATACGTATAGTATTCCGAGTCGTACAGCAGCGTTTCGACACTGCCGTTGGGGACATACTCCATTACGAGCGCCAACTCGTCGTCGCAAGCGCCGAGGAATTCGACCACGTGCGGGTGCTTGCCCAGCATCGAGAGCGCGCGCACTTCGTGCAGGAACTCGTGGCGTGACACGCTCGAGAGCACGTCCGTCTTGAGCTTCTTGACGACGACCTCTGCGTTCTTGTAGCGCGCGCGGTACGCGGTCCCAAACGACCCGGCGCCAATCGGCTCGAGAAGCGTGAGTGACGAGAGCGGGATCGTCATCGCCTCGGGCGGCGGTACGTCCAATGGCGTGTAGCTCGACGGGTATGTCACGACACGTGCCTCGGAGTCGTCATCATCGTGACGAACCATCGTCGGCGGTGGAATCGTAAAGTGCAAAATGGCCACGTGGGTGCCGACAATGATGCGGGCGCGACAGAGCCGACCGACGTCGTCTTCGTTTGTCTCGACGAGCTTGAGGTCGAAGAAGACTTTTTCCATTTCTTCCACCCTACCATATATCCATTGGTATATCGCTGCCGCCTACCACTGAAACGACTTGGCCGACTCGCCGACGACTGAGAGGCCGACACACGGCTCGAGCGCGATCGTGATCATCGTGCCGTGGGTCACGCGGAGACCGCGGGAGAGACGCCCTGTCTCAATCACGCCTTCGTCGAGCGCCATCGCCAGCATGTCTTCGAATTGATGCGGTGCGCATGCCCAGATGAAGACGCGGCACTTGGTGTCCCACGCCGGCGGGCCAAACGCGCTAAAATGCACGGGCAGTTGCAGTGACCGCGCCACTGGGTGTGTCGTGCGAATGTGATTGGTCAGCCGGCGCGTGGTCGACACCGGTGCCGCCGTGTACGTAAACGGTTGGTACGCAGGGACTGCATACTCGTAGCTCAGCGCATCAAAGGAAGAGTACACGGCGAGAGGCTCGTCCGAGAGTAAGAGACCACTGGCGTCGAGGAGACTCCCGCTCTTGCCACCCGAGGTGGGCGCCACCAAGGTATTGGCCGCGGCTTGGCCACGTCCGGCATCTTGACGAGTGTTTCCTATCGAATCGATGCCTGAGGTTAGGGTCTGGACAAAGCAGGCGATAGACCTTGTCGTCCAGCGACGACGACGACGAATGGAACGACGGCCACGACCGCGGCGGCGTGTATCGGTGGCTTGTTGGCTTTTGAAAGGAAAACCACTGCCGATGCAATAGCATCGTGGTGGTGGGGCGTCGGCTCAACTCATCTACACACGTGTATGTAGCAGACGCGATGCGGCATGTATGGGGTTGTACGGGAGAGACACTCGAGCACGAGTGTCTGCGCGGGTACCGTGAGCGACTGCAGTGCGACCGAGTCTGGAATAACATTGAGCTATACAATATGAACGCATTCACAAGACAGCAGACGACGACGTTGCGTACGTGGGGGTCGTGGCCCGTCGTCAAGAGGTAGATGAGCGCTCCAAACGCAAATCTAACAGAGTTGCATGAGATCATGAGGCGCGTTGAGGAGCGTGATACATATCGGCGGCTTTGCAGTGGGGCGTCGGCGGGTGCATGGCAGTCGCCGTGTGCAAGTCCAGGAACGGCGGCAGCAGCAGTTGCAAGCGATCGCCAGCAATCTATCCAAAAGCGCATCGTGAGTCCCGAAGATGCAGCTCGAAGCGAGTGTAGTACGTAGAGGTGGTGGATGGTGAGGTTGCCATGGACGATCCCACGCGTGTGCAGATAGTGCAGCGCGTCGACAAGCGCAAACGCTTTCCGGTGGAGCTACGGCAGCATGAGCAGTTCGATTCCGACCATGCGAGGTGTACCTGCGCCTCGGTGTAGCCATCTTTCGACGCGACATCTTGGGCGAGCGTACGCATGGGCATGAGGCGGTCATGCAGGAAGTAGACGACGTTCCATGTCGTCCCGGCGTCGAAGATGCCAATGACAGGCGCAATCAGCGGGTGCTCGCTGCCGGCAATGGCCAACTGGTCGAGCCGCCGAGACATGTCCCTACGCGCTGCGTGAGGCCGGACGCGCAGCAGCATCGTATGCGTCTACTCGGTCAAGAGCGTGGTTTTGGATCGCGTGGCAATGAGCACGACGGCGCCATCGTTCTCGAGGTCTGTGGCCAGCGCATGATGCGGCAGCGGCGCCGGCTCATCGAGCGGTTCGAAGCGAGACGCCGGGTACGGCGGGCGAGGCAGTGGCGGCGACGGCCGCAACGCCGGACATGAGAAGCCCATCGTGGTACTGAGGTATTGGAGCACCATGCCTGCCAATGCCTACCGACAAGATTCCGACATCCCTCGGTATAACGACACTTGATGTTTTTAATATAGTGTTTACACCAACGTCCCTATATCAAGTTCGTCAACCGAGGTACCTACATTCTGCCCGCACACGCATTCCAATGTCCTAATTCGCTTGTAAAGTACGTCATTGCCCTCCACAGTGCTAAAAAGTGTGCGCGATGAACATAAATGATGGCCAGAATGGTACGATATGTGCGAATTCCATGCAAGAGTTTTGGATGACACACCGTTTCGGCAAATCTTTGACAAAGCTTCGTCGCCTTGGCGCTGGCCTCGTGCTGCGTGGATAGCAGTGCCCTTCAAGCTCTTCGTCGCTGCATAAGCTCCTCTCGCCTTGGCTACCTAATCGCAGGTTCTAGATCCGCATAGAGGATCTGCCAGGCATTCATGCATCCGTGGGTACAGAAGTTCACCACAAACCGTGGCCGATCGATTCAACCAGCCAAGTCACGATCAATGCGCCTACGCAAGGCAGAGACCAACACCATCAACAGTGTTCATATGTCTTGTTGCGATACCAGCTCTAGCTCGCAGAGGGGTATACAGTGGTGCGATAGAAGTGATTATTAATTAAGGTACTAAAAGATGGCATGAAAAAGCGATTGCATGAGCAGCATCTTCAATCGATGTGCGGCGCAAGGGGCTGAAGCGGCGGCGAGGCAAGGGTGTCGAGTCTTGGGCGGTCCGTGCGCGTCGCCTGGCTCTGTGCAGCGTCAGCCGAGGCAAGCGCATGCAGCACCTGCACGAAGGGCGAGCACCATGACACGGGTAGGCTCGCCTGCCCGTCGTGCATCTTAACGAGGATCTCCGAGACTTCGAGCTCGAGGTCGGCTACGGGCGGGCGCTTGAAAGGCTTGTTGAGCTTGACAAACTCCTCGAGGTCCAGCGACCGGATCGCCCGCAGGACCCATGCCCGCTGGCTGCGGGGCTTCTTCTCGCTGAAGCCGCGGATGTGCTCGGCGCAGAAGACGATGGACTCGCTCACGCTGCGCAAGTGGCCGCGCGCAAAGCTATCTTCGATCCATGCGCCAAGCACGAGCTTCTGCTTCGCGTGGTCCGGGGTCATGGCGAATGTACCACCTCTCGTAGTCGATGCCACCAAGTTTACCGGATGCCATCCCCGGAAATAATGAGCTTCACGGTCTTGAAAACACCTGCAAAAACGAATAGAGCATTTTGGCATCCGGATACGGGACCAGCGACACCCGAGCTTGACCAAGATCGCCGACGCACTCTGCAGATCCATCGATGGACGCATGCCACTGCTACGATCAGCTGATGAGCGCAAGCTTCTATTGGACATTCAATAAGGTTCGTCCATGCTCGTGCATCCCATGCGTGAGTACCTCGTCATCGACTTGCTCGTGCATGGGCTCATCGGCTCGGTCTGCATAGCATGTCGAGCGCGTAGAGGCCCTCGGGCCTTCCACCAGCTGCGTACTCAGGGCGCGACGTGATGTTGTTGTGTTCACGACAATGTCCGCTTGGCCGCTCAACGCCAGTTCAAGGCCCTGGACGAGCATTGCAGCAGCGCTGAACGACAAGCAGAAGCAGGTTCGAGGGCTGGGTCTTTTGGCCTCCTCGGCTTACTTCGGCGCTGTCTTGATCTTTCCGCTCTTCGTTCCGATTACGATGTCTGCGTTTCCAGGTATTAGGTTACTGGCATGCGTAGCCACTAACGACTGTCTGGACGAGGCGGCACCGCGAGATAGAGCTAAACCCGAAATTCAATGAGGTAGACCGAGAATGTATGGAAAGGCAATGCTAGAATCCAAGGACACTGCAAGATTAGCTCGCACAATCCATTCAATTGTAGCTACGGTAGTGTCCTCACAATATTCAAGAAGTCAGGATTCCGTATTCAGAAGTTGGTGATTCAAGCCACTGAGACGCCGATTGTCGGCGCAAAGCGTGGATCGCTCACAGCTAGCACGCCCATAGGAATAAATACGAATAAAATGCAGCTCGAAGATATAAACAGTGCGCTTGCATTTCCTTAGTTTTCAAGCACAATGCGGAAGCGCACGTCCCCGTTGTGCACCTTTTGCAGCGCGGCGGCGGCCTCCGCCATCGGCATCACTTGCACGATCGAGCGCACGTTCTTCTCGACCGCAAACTGCAGCATCTCTTCGATCATGGACGGCGACCCGATGATGGAGCCGACAATCGTGATCTGGCGCGGCACGACGGCGAACGCATGGAACGAAATCGGCTTCTCGGGCACTGCGATGAGCACAAACTTGCCTTCGGTCGCAACCAGATTGAAGAGCGCGCCCCAGTTGGTGTCGGCGCCGTACGACGTGCAGAGGACGAGGTCCAACTGCTGCGCGGCGGCGGCGGCGGCCGCAGGATCGTTGTAGTTGAGAAACGCGTGCGCGCCAAGCACGTCCTTGCACTCTTGCTCC